CTAAAAAAAAAAAAAAAAAAAGAAAGTAGTTAGATTATTTAAGAAATTGTGTGATCAATACAATGTGGGGGATAAAGAATGGAAGACAACTGTAGACACCAGAGATAGTGTGAGAAAAGGACAGAGGGTCAGAAATAGGATATATATATATATATAAAACTAGAAATGGAAAATTTTTGATGATAACATGCATGATTAAGCCACTATGCAGTATATTCTGGATGGGAAATCACATTCTGTATGCTGTGACGATGCTTAGGAAATGAATGTAAATTAAGCTTAAAAAAAGTTTCAGAAAAAAAAGCTCATGGAAATACATGTAATGGGAAAACTATGTATGAATTTTAAAAAGTTTTTGTACCAAAATAAATTCATACTTTAATTATAAAATTAATTAATTAAAAATAAATAAATAAAATAATTCTTTAAAAAATAGCACTACTGTATTACCAATACATTTTTCATAGATAATAAACGGTCAAATTTTAAAAGAAGAGTTCAATATTAAAAATGGCTGATCATTTTTTATAAAAGTAATTTCTTTTTACATGTTTACTAAATATTTCTGGACTAGAACTAGGGATTAAGTTGGCTGAATTATACTATCAAACTAACAGAAAGTAAGTATATACAACACAAAAAAATTTGGCTGTCAACTTAGTTAAAATTAGTAATAACTTACCTTTATTTTACAAGCATGTGTGGAGGATTCCAACTTTAGAAATTTTTTATACAAAATAACCTTTTCCTGTTCACTAAAAATAGAAAAGAATTTTTAAACTTTCATACATTATTACCTCTAACAGTTATATTTTAAAATAAATGTTTTTAGAACAATATTTAAATCTTGAAATTCTATGTTTCTAGAACACAGAATAAAGAGTTGGGGCTCCTTACTGACTTGCACTGCTTATAAGGACAAATTTTGTCACATGACAAATGGGAGAACTGAAACAAATAATATATGTAAAATGATGTGGCACAGAGCTTATTTTAAAGCTCAATAAATATAGCTATAATTTCCATCATCCACAGAATATAATTCATAACTTGGATTAAAGAAACATTAGAGCAGAATCTTTCTGAGAGACTAGAAAAAAATCACAAGTTATAAACCACATAACAGGTTAATAATAGGCTGATATGACACAGTCTCACATTCCTAAACAATTTGTAATGGGCTTCCTAGAATGTGTTCAAAATTTCAAACTGACTGACTAATTTTTGGAAAATAGACCCTTGTGAATTAAATGAGAGGCAGGAAACACTATCAGGGTAACAATCTTTCATCTTTTTTTTTTAATTGCCAGAGGGTATCTGCATTAGTCAAAGAAAGAGACACACAGAGAGAAAAAGAGGGAGAAGGAGAAAGTATCCTCAAATGGGGTGTAGTCACACCTCAATCCCTTCTTCTCCATTTCTCCATCCTTTTGAGATAGAAACACTAAGCATGATTTAAGCTGCTGGGTTGGGATTCCAACCATGCAGAAGGTCATATAGGATTCAGTTACGCCATGGGGCCAGACTTAGGACACAAATCTAATATAATTCTTTCACTTAACTAGCTGTGGCTTTTTACTAATTCACCTCTATTAGCTCTAAATTTTCACATATATTTAAAAAAAAAACAAAAACTAGGTTGAGCTAGATTGTCTTTTAAGAGTGCTGACTGTCTACTACTGGACTTTTTCTTCTTTCCCCAATGTTCCTATCAATTTCAGGGAATCAATAAACACTCCAAAGGACACCGAGGAAAGTAAGAACAGTGATGAAGAAGAACACTCTCACATGTGCAAGCCACAAACCTGTTATCCAGGACGGTACACACATTCTTGCCCCTACTGGTTCCACAGTACTCCTCGCCTAAGTAAACTTCCATGTTTCTTGCTGAACTCAAAATGCCAACGGCAGTCATCTCTTCGCCTCCTTTAGGGTCGCACATCAGGTAAAGAAAGCAGGGGTTTTCATCTTGGCTGTTCAGGCTTCTCTTCAAAATCACCAGATCCTGACTGAGAAGGAAATGATTCAAAACATGACACACTATGGGTCTCTGAACACTTCCCATGAAGCACTCAGATCACGGGTACTCTGCTAACTCGCTTCACCTGAGGTCCAAGTTCCTTCCCAAACACCGTCTAATTCAATACAGAATTCATATGAAAAGGCAGGCTTCAGAAATCGGCTTCAGAAATTTTCCCTCGATCATGGACGTGCTCACAATCCTCTGTGATCGATTCTCAGTAATTAAATAAACTGACTGGACGCCTGTTGTGCACATAGAACTAGGCAGCACCACACAGCAAAAGACAAAGCTCTATTTCTTAAAAAGTCTGCCGACAGTGGTCCTCAATTGGTTTTTCGAACCCTACTTTGGTCTTCTAGAGGTATTCGTTTCCTTTAGAGAAGGGGGTGCAGCAGACTCATCGTCCTGAGACCCGAAGGGCTGTCATACTGCTCGAGAGGTCTGTGACATTCCGAGTTTCCAGGTCATCTTCCCTCTCGCCCCTGCGCCCCCCACTCACGCACCACCAGTTGCGGCCACGGCTAGGCCGTCCCACCCCTACCCCCTCGACGTCCCGAGTTCACCCCTACCTTGCAGACGCAGCATCAGCTTCGCTCCCGGATCCCGGCTCAGACCCTCTCCCCTCAGCCCACGCCTCCCTCCCGGCTCTCACGGGAGCGTGGCTGTCACCGAGCGCGGTAAGTCCGGTCCCCACCCGCCCCGGTCCCCACCCGCCCCCGCGCACCTTGGAGCAGGTGGCACCAGCAGCTCCTCCCAGTCCGAGTCTTCGACACCTAGACCCGCCCGGGTGACAAGAAGGCTCTGGGTTAGGGCCCCACACGTGGCATTCCAGGAAGAGGCCAGCGTCGGGCAGCCGGCCAGCTCCCGGTCCTCCGTCTCCATCGCGCCGCAGCTGCCCGGGCCAGCGCCGGAACCTCTCTTCAGCGTTTAAGTTTCCGTCAGTGCAGAGTGGAAGTGAGGAAGCAGAGTGGGGAGAGACTCCTTCAGCCGGCAGGCATGCGCATGCCATGTAGCTTCAGGGGCGGCGTTCAAAATCTGCTCCGGAAGATAGAAGAGAGGCAGGGACAGGTGTATAAGACCAAGGGCGGAGCATGCGCACTGACTACTCTCTGGCGCCCTCTGACGACTACGCAGGCGCAGTGCGCTGCGTGTGGGGATGCGGGCGGTATTTTCGCGTTGGCTGTGAAGAAATAGCAGGTAGCCAGAAATAGCAGGCCTGCTGGTTGGACAGAAAGGGTGGATCCAATGTCGAGGGCCTGTGAATACGAAGGCATGGTGTTGTTGGCCCCGCGTCCTACTGATCCAACTCTCGACCTCGCCATTGCTCCAAGTGGACGCCAGAGCCATTTCCACTGCAGGCGCATATGCCCCAAATCCCAACAGGATCAAGAAAATGAGACTGGATTTGTGCCTGACCAATCCCCCTTAAGAGGTTCTTTTCCCTCTTCCTCCGTCTACATGTGTTCTCTGACAATTAAAAAATAAAAACGAGGGACTAGCAGTTGGCGTAATGGCTATGTCGCTGGACTCCCATGTAGTCAACTGCGTTGGAATCCACGACCCATTGCTTAAATGCACGCCAGGTGCTTGTGCGTGCATGCTCAGGATCCCAAGAGAATGAAGGAGAAGGGATTGTGGCATAGCCATCCCCCTGGGGTGGGTGGTGATTTCTCGCTTTCTGTTTCTCTGGAGAGGGCACATGCTCTATAGCAAGAACCTCTCCAAAAAAATAATAAAAAAATAAAAATGGAAATTAGATTATAGAAGTTTTCTATCAGCAGTCTAAAGATGTCTTTAAAGTGATCCAGTCTCTAGGAAGTACAATTCTTGCTCACTATAATTTTTTTTTTTTTTAGATAAGAAATTTATTTGAAGAATACAAAGGTTCTTGCAGGGATTCCAACATCTGTAATGGGTTACAGATGAAGGACAGAGCATGCTGCGATCACAAACTTTTAATTCTGGGTTCTGCACAATCACAAAGAATATCCTAGAGGATAGTCCTTCATGTACACTGCAGAAGGGACTAGAATGTGGATTCGCTTTTGCTTGCTTTTTGATCCTTATAGTTCTGTATGCTGGCCTCAAACTTGTCAAGCACATCTTGGCAGACATTCATGAGCTCATTCAGGCCTCTCTGAAATGGCTCAACAGCTGAATCTGAATGTGCAAATTAATTTTGCTCTCTGAAGGATGGGTCGTAGTTTCACCACAAAATTCCACTTCTGGGTTCTTCATGATCATGTAACGCAGAGAATTTCTTAGGGTATGGTCCTCCTCGTGCAATACAAATGTCACACAGTGTCTATCTGTTCCAGCTGCCTGGACCATTTCCAGGGCTGTCTTCCTCTCGCTTTCAGCCATTGAGGCCTTCAATCCAGGTATTTTTCTCTCCAGCTCCTGGTCCTCTTCCATCGCGGACACGGTTTCCAGGATCCCCAGGAGGTGCGAACGGATTAGAGGCTCTGCCCCATATTACGAAACATCTATAATCTAATTTTTTCTAAGAACTTATGTCCTAGGCTCAATGATTCAGTTCTCCACTTTTTCGTATTCTCTTTGCTTAAGTTTTAAGAATTATTTCATCTTATTTATTATTTTAAAAATAAATTTGCTATAGGACATGTGTGCTCACCAGAGAGGGACAGAAACAGAGAAAGTGAGACTGCAAGTTGCCAGATCTGGGACTTGAACTGTGTTTAACCATGTGGGACTCCACCTTCTTAACCACTGCCACTCACTGGCCTTTTGGTTAAGTTTTTATTTGCTTTTGCAGTCATCTCTTGATATCTGTGAAGGCTGGTCCCAGGAAACCTCCTACAAATACCACAATCTGTGGATGCTCAAGCCCTTTAGTTAAAATGGCATAATATTTGCATATTGACAATACATGTTCTCCTTTATGCTTTAAGTAATCTCTAGATTACCTGTAATACCTGATAGGACATAATTGTTATGTAAGTAATTGTTACATTTAGGAAATAATGACAAGGAAAAAAGTCTGTACGTGTTCAATACAGATGAAGAAACCACATTTTTTTTTTTAAATCCATGGTTGATTGAACCATATGGAAGACCAACTGTATGTATTAGAACATATATCCTATAGATAAAAATGAGACCAGAATGACTGTTTGTGGTGTTTATTTGTATCACAGGGCAAGGAAAATGATGACCAAATGTATTTTTCTATAGGTAACCATCAGAATATATAGTAGGTGAATTTACCAAGATTGTAAGAGAAGCTCCACCAAAGGTCTATAGGTTCAAAATTCAAGATATTAAAAAGTTCTTAATTGAAAAGGTCCTAAGTTTGCAAAGTTTTTTTATTTTTTAATTACCAGAGGCATATATGCTCACCAGTGAGAAGGAGAAAGCACACCCCCAATGGAGCACAAGCAAATGGCATTCCCATCTCCAGTTCTTCATCCTGTCAGGACTTTGGGCACACATGCACATGGCACAGCATGTTCTTCAAACCACAGTCAGCCATCTAGGATCTGGCTCCCAACCATTGGGCTAAGGGGCTGCCTGTCGTAAAGTTATTTTACTACTCTAGATTCATTATAAGTTGTTTTCATCATTATTTCTTTGCTATATGTCTTTCTTTCTGTGGTCATACGTTACCTTTTATCCATGTTAACATGTATGTCCAGTGGGAAATAGACTCTTAATTCAGAAACACTAACTGCAATTTTACAAGCAAAGTCAATTATTATAATCAGGATTTTTGACTCACCGAGTTTTCATTTTATTTTTTTTTAATTAATTTTTAATTTTTTATATACATTCAATCACATCATTTAGCTTACAAAGTGAACATTTCAATATGTGAACATTTCTCCCCAGTCCAGTTGATCAAAATATCTCCATTGAAGATATTTTGATCAACCAAGTTTTCTTTTTTTTTTTCAAAATATATTTTATTTTTTATATGTATTTTGCAAAATTTCCAAGATAAACATTAGGTTTATATACAGAAATAAAGGAGAGTTCTTTAAGATCTGTCATTGGATAGATCACATTTTTATAATGGAAAATAAAATTGCATATCATCAAAACTATTGAGCTCAAGTGGAGTGCTTTCTTTGCAATGCTCTCATTTAAACCCAAGCCCCTACAGCTGACTCAAACCATTATCATATATGTACATATAAGAAAAAGCAGGGACCAGCAGATAGCATAATGGTCACATCACTGGACTCCCATTTAATCAACCACAGTTCAAGTCCCAGACCCAGTGGCTCAAAACTCACGCTGGGCGCATGTGCCTGCATGCCCAAAATCTCATGAGGAGAATGGAGAAGAAAGGATCGCGGCGTGGCCATCCCTCCTGGTGATTTCCCGCTTTCCATCTCTTTGTCTTTCTGGTGAGTGCACGTGCCCTATAGCAAATCTTCCTCTAAAAAAAGAAAAGACGTTTGCATGGAAGCAGCAGCCTCACAGTCTCAGACTTTTAGTTCACACTAGTCAACCTTCCACAGGTAGTTGGTGTTTTGCACTACTGACTTAATGAGTCAGTTTTGAAGTTTGATAAGAATATATTCTCAGGAACCAGCAGTTAGCGTGATGGCTATGTAGCTGGACTCCCACGTAGTTGACCGCGGTTCGCGTCCTGGACCCGGTGGCTTAGAACTCATGCCGGGCGCGTGTGTGTGCGTGCCCAAGATCCCGAGAGGAGAATGGAGGAGAAGGGATTGCGGCGTGACCATCCCCCCTGGGGGGTGATTTCTCGCTTTCTGTCTCTATGTCTCTCTCTGTCTGGCGAGCACACGCGTCCTATAGCAAAAACCTCTCCAAAAAAAAAAAAAGAATATATTCTCTCAGAGATACATTTTATATCAACCTTGTAATGTGCTAAATTATTAAATTGTACTAAATATGTTTAAAAAAATCATTTTGTGTTTTTTCTACATTTCTGCATCCTCCTCCTCCTCAGCATCATCTTTGGCTCTAAAGTGCATTTTTCGGAATTCTTGTCTGCTCATTGAAGGACAAGATGAAGATGCTGGTGGCAGGTCCTGCATGAGCTCCACGTTTCCAAAGAATCAGCTCACTGGCATTGGCTGGTTGCTGTCCTCATCTATAAAGATAGTGCTGTCCAGCTGCAGTGGTGGCCTCTGGACTCCCTCTGTTTCCAGTGCTGACTTGTCCCGCTGGGTGTAGTTACTGTTAGAGTCTTCTGCTCCTGAACTGGTGTGTTTCGGCACAGAGAGGCTGTCTTCAGTCTTTCTAAAGCCCGTGTCACTCACAACTCTGCAGTGGCTGAGAGGAAGGCCTGCAGTCTCCTGTTGTGTAGAGGAACTAGCTGCACTGTCTGGAAGCAATGTATCATCTTCGGCAAATTTATTTTCACAGGGGGTCTCAGGTGTTACTTTTGGCAAAGAACCACTATCACTTTTAGGGACTAGTTTCTGTAATTCTGACTTCACAAGATGACTTTTATCATACTTGAACTTCTTGGAAGTGCGCCTCTCTGTGGCTTTGTGTGAAGTCAGACATGTTGTTTTGGCAGATGTGGAGCCAGCGATGTCCTGGGCAGAGGCCAACCCAGCTGTTGAACAACTTCGAGCTCTCAGACGTGCTGAAGATCGCACTCTACCTGTGAGCTTCCAGCTCCTCATGAGTGTGAGCGGCACAGCCACCCCCGCCCGCCTAACGCTTTTCTGCGGAGCGGCAACCAGGAGGTCCTCATTTTCTTTAAGAAACAGTTTCCTATCTTTTTCTTCATCTCTGCTTCTTCTGTTTTCAAACACTGGCTTCATCTGAAACATTGCAAATTTCCTTACTGGTTATCAGCTTTCATTTTCATCACTTCCATTTCATTCTCTGCACTGCCCTCTGTGAACTTTGCCTGCTTCCCAGTCTCTTTTACCTTTGCACTTGCTTTTTCTTCTACCTAGAATGTTATTTTTTTTCCAACAGTAGGAGAAATTCTGTTTATCACTTAAAACCAAGCTGATCTCCACTACAGAATTAAACTAATTCCTCTGTGCTACACTTTACACTTTTTAGGTGTGATAATTCTCTTGGGGGGGGGGGTCTCAGACTTTGACAGTGTGCATGTTTATGTTCCCCATTGTCTGCAAGCTTGCTGAGATTAGGTGTTTTGTGCCTGATAGAAGTTGAGAACAGATTTGTTGTGTGGCAGTGATAGCTTGGTGAGAGCTAGCTGACAGTTTCATCACAAACTAAGAGGAGCAGAAAAGGGCAAAGCTAGAAATTTTCAATGTTATGCTTTTTTTTCAAAGCCTGGGTACTTTTAGTTCAGAGTTGACTTCAATCTTTTTATTGTGTTGTTTTAATTGCCAGAAGGCTCCTATGCTCACCAGAGAGAGAGAGAGCAAGAGGGAGGAAGAGAGATGAAGAGAGAGAAAGCACCCCCAGTAGGGTGCGGTCATCCTGCAATCCTTTCTCCTCCATTGTTGTATACCATCAGGATTTTGGATGTGCATGCACACACACCTGGTATGTTTTTCCAGCCACCTGGGCTGGGATTCAAATCATTGTTGGCCATGTGGGATCTGGTTCCTTTACCCACTAAGCTATGGGACCAGCTCTCACTTCAATCTTAACAAATTGCTCTTGTCATGAGTTGCAAGCTGTTTTTGTTTTTTTTGCATTATTTTCCCCCTTTGAAATAAATAATAAAATGCATATTGGAAACTTCTCACTAATATCACTAGGATAAACTGTGCAACTTTTGGCTCACCTATTTTAAACAGTTTATTGATAATATAAAAACTCAAAATGCTCTTCAGTAGCATATTTCAAATCTATTTTCAGAATGTGTGAGTCAATGCATATTTGAAGAGTATACTTTAGAAAAAAGTGACAAAGTATTAATTTTCTTGAGCCCATTCATTTTGTTGTAATGGAGCAATTTGGATGTTTTGAGTATTTTAAGTAGTTTTAACCATATATGCTCTGTCTTTTCCCCTTGAGTATACTTCCCAGCAAGGTGGTTATAGAAACTTAATTTTCGTCCCAGCTAGTACTACTTGGGTTGTGCCTCCTCTCGTTCCTCTGTATTTTTTTTTTTTTTTTAGAAAAAAATTTGCTATAGGGTACATGCACTCACCAGAGAAACCACCCCCCAGGAGCACGGTCACACTGCAGTCCTCTTGGGATTTTCGGCATCCATGCACATGCACCCAGTGCAAAAATATTTCAGAAATAAAGATTTACTTATTTTTTATAAAATGTTAACAAGAATGTACTATGTTGTTGGAAAAGTCATGACACAGTTTTCTGCTTTTCTATGGAAAGATGCATCATGACTTTTCTTTTTCCAGAGGTTTTTGCTATAGGGTGCATGTGCTTGCCAGACAGACAGAGACAAAGAGACAGAAAGCGAGAAATCAGGGAACCAGCAGTTAGCGTAATGGCAATGTCGCTGGACCCCCACGTAGTCGACCGCAGTTCGCGTCCCGGACCCGGTGGCTTAAAACTCACGCCGGGCGCGTGTGAGTGCGTGCCCAAGATCCCGAGAGGAGAATGGAGGAGAAGGGATTGTGGCGGGACCATCCCCCCTGGGGGGTGATTTCTCGCTTTCTGTCTCTATGTCTCGGGATGGCCATACCACAATCCCTTCTCCTCCATTCTCCTCTCTGGATCTTGGACACGCTCGCACACGCACCCAACGTTGAGTTTTAAGCCACCGGGTCCGGGACACGAACTGCGGTCGACTACGTGGGAGTCCAGCGACATAGCCATTAGGCTAACTGCTGGTCCCTACCTTTCTTTTTCTTTTTTTTTTTTTTTGAGAGATTTTCACTGTAGGGCGCGTGCGCTCACCAGACAGACAGAGAGAGACACAGAGACAGAAAGCGTGAAATTACCCCCCAGGGGGATGGCCATACCACAATCCCTTCTCCTCCATTCTCCTCTCAGGATCTTGGGCACGCACGCACACGTGCCAGGCGTGAGTTTTAAGCCACCGGGTCCGGGACACGAACTGCGGTCGACTACGTGGGAGTCCAGCGACATAGCCATTACACTAACTGCTGGTTCCCTGGTCCCTACTTTTCTAACAACTTAATAGACTGATGCAAACATTTTGAAAAACAGTTTGGCAGGGCCGACAGGTGGTGTAATGGTTAAGGCATTGGACTCCCACGTGGTAAACCCTGGCTCAAATCCCAGACCTGGCAGCCTGAAATTCACACCAGGTCAATGTGCGTATGTGCCCCAAATCCCGAGGAGAATAGGTTAGGGATTGTGGCGTGGCCATTTACCCCACCATCCCGGAGTGGGGGGTGATTTCTTGCTTTCTGTCTCTCTGATGAGCACATGAACCATATAAAAAAAAATCTCAAAGGAAAAAACAAAAAAACAGAGAAACAGCAGAACCAGCAGTTGGTGTAATAGCTATGTCGCTCGACTCCCATGTAGTTGACCGTAGTTTGAGTCTTGGACCCAGTGGGTTAAACTCAAGCTGGGTGTGTGCGTGTGTGCGCAAGATCCTGAAAGGAGAATGGAGGAGAAGGGACTGCAGTGTGGCCATCCCCCCTGGGGGGTGATTTCTCACTTTTTGTCTCTCTGTCTTTCTGGCAAGCGCACATGCCCTATAGCAAAAACCTCTTCCCCCACCCCCCCAGAAAAAAAGAGAGAAACAGTTTGGCATTATTTTCTAAACTCAAAATGTCTTAACAATTTTATACCTAGATATATCTTCAACAGTAACTGCTGCATTCATATAACTGAGGATATATAGATAGATCTTATATATACACATAGTAAGTTCACAGCAGCACCATTCACAATGGCAAAATGTTGAAACAACCATGATGTATACCTACAAGATAAGAAATTGTGACATGATGAAAGACTTCATTAGTCAAAATTAATGAACTACATCGATATACAATATTATTAATGACTCTTAGCAGTATGTTTAAAAATTCATACATCCCAAAAAGTACAAACGGCATTTTAATAATTTTTTTAAAACCTAAAAATAGGGGCAAACAGGTGGCATGATAGTTAAGATAATGGACTCCCACGTGGCAGAGCACAGTTGGAGTCTTGGAGTCAGTGACTTCAAAAACATGACAGGAGCGTGTGTGCACATGTGCCCCAAATCCCATGAGGAGAATGGAAAAGATGGGACTGCATTGTAGCCATCCTCCCTGAGAGAGATTTCTCACTTTCCCTCTTTCTGGCAAGAGCATATGCCCTATGGCAAAAAAGAAAAACAAAAAACTACAAGTAAATAATTTTTAGGAACAATGCAAAGGAGATGATCATAGGATTCCAAATGATGGTTACCTTGGGTTGAATGAATATCCATAAGTTTTATTGCAGAAATACTAATGTATTTGATTATATGGTACAATCCTAGACACTAGCTGAAGGTGTTACGGAGTATGTATATTACCTATCTAAAATCAGAAAAGTTAATAATTTCTAAACACATCTGGATCCCGTGGTTCCAGTTAAGGGACTGTGAATCTGTAGAGGCCTAGAAAAGTAGCAGTGAAGATAGAGATAAATTTTGAAGGGAAAATGAAGGAGACTTTTAGATGAACTGGATTTGAGGGTGAAGAAAAAGGAAGAATCAGGCATGACTGTAAACAATGCTCTTCAATTTCAATCCGAAATAAAGAGATAATGTATGCGCTTTGTAATCACAAATGGTATCAAGTTTAGCATCAGGTTACTGGTTGTATTCAACTCTGGTAAACAGATTTCATCCTCATTAATTTTTTTGAACAAATTCTTTAAGGGTAAGAAGTAATCATCCCCTAAAGAAAGTTGAAAACCAGGATCTGAACACTCTCACACAACGATGTTCTGTATTTCTCCATAGCTGTGTTCCTTTTTAAAACATCTACTGTTCTCTGCGTTAAACGATATTCCTTTATTTCCTCACACTTGCTTCCGACAGGTGGCGTTAGTGCGAGAACAAATATTTTTCTTCTTGCACCTCCAGTAAGAGCAGCGGTGCGGTCGACAGACTGCCACTTTCGCCTTTTGTTTTCATCGACTAACCTTATAAAGCCAACTAAAGGAAAAGGCTTAGTCTCTTCGAGATTTTCCTGGACTGGGAAAACCTCATGTAACAAAACCAAATGTACATCCTAATGGCTTGCAAGTTTCCGGTAAGCAAGATGATTCCATCTGAAGATAATCCTAATTCTGGGACCCTTTGGGTATGTGCGGGAGATATGAAAGGCGGCGCCCTCGTCTCTCCATCCTAGAAGACTGGCCTTACCGACAGCTACGTGAGAGTGATAACCTGTGACGACCTTGGAAATAGCCCGGACCGAGCAGCTTTTCGGGATTCGAAGCCTCGCCCACTCCTCCGCCCAGACACCAGGCGGCGCAGCCGGGACGTGAGAGACGACGCGCGTGCGCGGTCGGCGGGCGGGCTCTGGCGACGTTGCCAGCCTCTTTCGGTCTGTCTAGGCAGCATGAAGACAGCCAAAGCCACCGGCAGCAGGAGACCCGCAAAGGACACCGGAGGAGCCGGCGCCGACGGCCCGCGGAAGTTAGGACTCTGCGTCCTCTGTGGTCTCCCCGCAGCTGGAAAATCTTCCTTTGCTCGCGTCCTCAGCAATCGGCTGCGGCAAGAGATAGGCTGGGCCGTCGGCGTCGTCGCGTACGATGACGTCATGCCAGACGCGTTCCTGGAGGGGTCGAGCGCGCAGCCATTGGTCAGTATATAGGGGGGGGGTGGGGCGTAGGCTGCACTGGCGGAACAGCGTAGGCGACTCCACCTGTACCGCTCCTGTGTTGTATTGAGTGCCCACTGTCTAAACCTGGTATGGAGATGAAGCCCTGACCGAGGCAAGACAGGCATTTGAAAAAATAGAGCCGAATTAATATAGTTATTGCAAAGAATGAGTGACATGGCCGTAGAAATATATCCTAAAATAGTTTGAAAACAGCGGTTTTAGAATAGTGCATAGTAGAAGAATATTACATGTATGTTCTGTACGTTCAGCTGATCTTGCTCTTCACAGCCTTTCTCATTTCGAGGGCAAACCAGCAATGTTAAACCATGTTTTAAGCCAGGGTTAGGTTCTGAAGTTAGTGTGCAAGGTGTACTCTTGAAAAACCCTTTGGAAGTTTCTTAAGACGAGGGAAAGAATTTCTAAAAAAATTCCAGCAAAGCCACTTTAACATATGGCCAAGGGTGGATCCGGGTTTTGTGGGACTGAAGATTTACATGTTTTGGAGGGGTTTTTTTTTTTTTTTTTTTTTTTTTTGCTATAGGGTGCATGCTTGACAGAGAGCAAGAAATCACCCCCAGGGGGACGGCCACAGCTGTAATCCTTTCTTCATTCTCCTGTCAGGATTTTGGGCACACAAGCACATGTGCCCTGTGTGAGTTTTAAGCCCTGGTCCAGGTCTCGCACCACGACTGTTCATGTGGAGTCCAGCAATGTAACCATTAAGCCACCTGCTGGTCCCTTTTTAAAGAGAGATTTTTGCTGTAGGGCTTCTTGGAGTGACAGAGACAGACAGAAAGCAGAAATCACCCCCAAGAGGGGTTGGCCGTGGTGCAATCCCTTCTCCATTCTCTCTGGGATTTGGGGCAGGCACTTACATGCATCTGGCATGAGTTTGAAGCCTCTGGAGCTGGGACTTGAACTGTGGTGGACTACATGGGAGTCCAGCCATGTAGCCATTACACCATCTGCTGATCTATGGGTAGCCATTTTTAAGAGAGAGACTAGAAATCTAGGGCCGGCAGGTGGCATGGTGGTTAATATGCTGGACTCCCACATGGCCAACTGCAGTTTGAGTCCTGGACCTGGTGGCTTGCTTTCTTATTTTCCTTCTCCCCCTGGTTCTCTCTGGCAAGTGTATATGCCCTATAGCAAATTAAAATAAGAATAATAAATAAAATTAAATAATTCCTTTTAAAAATGAAAAGAAGAAAAATATAAATCATAAATTAATTTACTAGGGTTCCTCCAGAAAAGATAGAGATGAAGGATATGACCTCTGCAGCTTAATCTTCATCTCAGGATAATTCTGCCTGTGTCAACATTGGCAAAGATGCTGTTTCTTAGTTGACCACCAGAGGAAGTAGTGAGCTTTTCTTTGGGGACCAACTTGTATGTTCTAGGTGTGTAATTTTCAGTCCTTCAACTCACAGCGCATTGAGATGCACCTTCTTGGAGAAGCATATGAAAACTGAGATAACTAGTGGAAGAGTAGATTTGCATCTCCCATCTCATGCTTCCTCTACATAACTCTTTGAAACATTCTGAAAATTTTAGATTATTGTTGTTTAGTGCTTGATTGTAGACCTGTTCACATAAGTGAAATGGGAATATAATGACTTATTTATTGCTGCATGTATTTATACAAAAATACATTTAATGTATATTAATTACAAAAATACATTTAATGTAAAGACTCCTAATGTTGATTTACAACCTTGTGTCTCCCACTCTCAGAAATGAGTAAAAAGAACCATTGCATCTGAGCACTCCAAAAACACTTTTGTGTTTTTCCAGGCCACTCAATTTTGTGCTACAGAGATATCTCTGTAGAAAAGTGTATCTACTTCCTCATTCCTGGATAATTGCAAGGTAAATATAGTATCAGGGTAGCATAGGATTTACTTGGATATTAGTATTTTTACCTCTTGCAACAAAGTAGAGCAGTGTTGAGGGGAATTATTGTATTTACTAGCTTTTTCTCACTTTTATTATGAGGACAGAATTCTGACTACTTTTTCTTATTCCAAAATTCTTTCCATAGGGCCTAGAGGAGTCACCCTACAAACATTAACACACTGCTTCGGTCCAGTGATTACGGAGTATTCCCTAGTGTTTTTATGATACATGGTAAAGCCTTCTTATCACTGTTGAAGTGAAGCATAGACATTCTTTAACCAATTCCTAATTTAGGAATTTCTCTTTTTTTTGAGAGAGACATTTTTATTTATTTATTTTTTGGAGAGATTTTTTCTATAGGGCATGTGCGCTTGCCAGGAAGACAGAGAGAGACAGAGAGACAGAAAGTGAGAAATCACCCCCAGGGGGGTGGCCACGCCGCAATCCCTTCTCCATTCTCCTCTCAGTACCTTGGGCATGCATGCACACGTGCCCGGCGTGAGTTTAAGCCAACAGGTCCAGGACTTGAACACGGTCGACTACATGGGAGTTCAGTGACATAGCCATTACGCTAACTGCTGGTCCCAGAAATTTTTGCTATAAGGTGCATGTCCTCTCCTGAGAGAAAGAGAGACAGAAAGCAAGAAATCACCTCCTAGGCATGATGCAGCTATGCCACAATCCCTTCTCCTCCATTCTCCTCTCAGGATATTGGACACATACACATATGCGCCCAGTGTGAATTTTAAATCTCTAGGTCTGGGACCTGGACCATGGTCAACTACGTGGGAATCCAACGACGTAACCATTATACCATCTGCTGGTCCCCCTAACCTAAGAATTTCCAAACCCACAAGTGTCCGCTCCCAGATGTCTCACCTTTTTGGGCCAGACCAATGTAAAGACTTGTAATGTTGATTTACAACTTTGTGTCTCCCACTCTCAGAACTGAGTGAAAAGAACCACTGCATCTGAGCACTCCAAAAACACTTTTGTATTTTTCCAGGCCACTCAATTTTGTGCTTAGAATAAACTACATTAAGTACTATTTCTGGAGAACTTGTTTATTTCCATTGAGAGTTAGATTTTATTTTTAAGAATTATTCATTTTATTTATTTATTATTAAATTTGACCAGAGAGAGACATAGAGAAAGAAAGAGAGTAAGAAAGCAAGTCGCCAGGTCCAGGTCTTAAACCACAATCACATGGGAGTCCAGCACCATGCCAGCAGCCAGCTCCAACAGTTAGATTTTTGTTCATTCCCATACATGCAAAGGCCTTGGGACCCATCTGATCACAATGAGTAAAATATTTAACCTTTTACAAAGTGATATGTTTCATTTTTAGTAGGTTGAACTGATGTATTTGTTGCATGCATTGTAATCTTTTTTTATTTTTAGTTTTTAATTTTTATTTATTTGAGAGAAATTTTTGCTGTAGGGTGCATGCACTCGCTTGGAGAGACAGACAGAAAGCAAGAAATCATCCTCCCAGGGGGATGGCCACACCACAATTCCTTCTCTTCCATTGTCCTCTCAGGATTTTGGGTACACATGCACACATGCCCTTCATGAGTTTAAGCCGCCGGGTCCAGGACTCAGACTACAATTGTGAGTTCAGAGTCCAGCGACGTAATCATTAATCTATCTGCTGGTCCCAGGTGATTTTTTTCTTTTGTTTTTGTTTTTGTTTTTGTTTGTTTGTTTTGCCATAGGGCATGTGTACTCACTGGAGGGAGAGAGACAGAGAAAGTGAGAAATCATACCCCAGGGGGAATGGCCACATTGCAGTTCCTTCTCTTCTCCTCTTGAGATTTTGGGCATTCACATACATGTGGCCAGCATGTTTCAGGCTGCCAGGTCCAGGAGTCCAGCACCCTAACCACCATGCCACCTTCTAGCCCGACATGTGTAATCTTAATGCTGTGGATAAAAATGAAGTGGAGCAGGGACCTCCCGCCCTTCACCCCGGCAAGAAAAGATAAAAGAGATAGGCCCTTCTTTCCCTCTTTGATTAAGAGAAAAATAAGAATTTCGTAAACTGAAAATTAATAAGGGCTGAACTAAAATGTAAAATGTCTTTTTTTTTTAACTGGGCTTGGAATGAAGGTTCATTTATATTGTAATGGCCCAAAGTAAGGGGTAGGACTTCAGATTTTGGTTATGGTAATCAAGCAACATTGGCCCTGAACAGGGCCATAGGACTTCTAAAACTCCCACTTAAAGGAATGTGAAGCTTTTAACTTCAATACTTTAGGTGTTTTGCGGGATAAAAACTGCTGACAGTGAACACATAGACCCCAGGCAAAATGGTACCAGAAACCTGAAGATTGCTCCCCTCTAGAATAGAAATTTGACTACCAACCCCCCCTCCCCCTAATCAAGAGGATTCATAGGATGATCATTCCCTCTTGAACCAGTCATTGAGTTGATCTTGTTCCTGGGATTTTTGCCCTTAATCTTATCCTGAAATATGCATGCAGGGGTTGCTCCTCAGAGAGACCAGGCCTTTTCAGCGGGAGCTGCCTAGTCTCCTTGCTTTTGGTCATGGCAGTAAAGTCTTACGTTCCTTCTTCACACCCTGTGCCTACAGTTTGGTTTGTAGCACTCGGGGTTTTATAGGCAGCTAGGTAGAAGTGAGCAGGTAGCCCTAAAAAAACCCCGAAGGACATCAGCCACATCAATCACAACTAATTAGGAATTACAGCCACCCTCCATAAAAATGCCTACTTTCCACCCAGCTCCTGGCTCCGAGAAGATGAGGCAAATCTCATTTTTCTTCTTTAGAACCTGAGGAAGACACATAGGGGTAGTTGTAAATTTCCCTCTTATCAGTCCTCATAAATACAAAGGGACTCAAGAAGATGTTTTGGTCAACATCCTAATTCCTACTGGGACTAATTGGACAGTTCATCCAAATAAGGATGCTTATATCTCCTAAGTCTACACTGAGCATGCAAGATTAGGTCATTAAATTCTTCACCTGTGAGAGCGATATGCAAGTTGCAGGAAAAAACCCGCAAATTCAAACAAAAAAGCCAAATACTATGATAAAGCTTCCCCAGCCAAATATTCATTATCAACTCTTAGAATACATGTAACACCTAAACCCATACCTGTGCAATTGTCCTTCTCTGGCAGCTGCCCAGCTGCGTACCCTTCAGGCATGAAAGTGTACTCTTTTCTATTAAAAATCCTTACTTTCCTATTAAAACTTCCCTTTTCTGAGACCAGCAGATGGTGTAGCAGTTACGTCACTGAACTCCCACATGTCTGACCACGGTTTTAGTCCTGAATCTGGTGGCTTCAAACTCGTGTCAGGCATGTATACTTGTGTGCCCAAGATCCCAGGAGGAGAATGGAGGATAAGGATTGCGGCTTGGCCATACCTCTGGGGAGTGATTTCTTGCTTTATGTCTGTCTCTCTGTCTTTCTGCCTCTCTTCAGCAACTGCATACACCCTATAGCAAAAATCTCTCTTCAAACAAACAAACAAACAAACAAAAACTTGCCTTTTCCTACTTTACAAGTGCTTGTGGTTTTTCACTTTGTGTCTAAAAGACAGGTGTCTAATCTTAGAACTCTGGACCTAAAGAACTAAGGATTTTACACAATGCAAATCAATACTCTCCCATCCTATGATAGGGTGAGTGAACTTGATTTGAGTTTGATTGTGAGGATAGAAATCTGACTGCTTTTTTCTATTTTTCAAAGTCCTTTCCAGAGGGCCTGGAGGGAGTCACACCCACAAACATTAGCAGACCATTTTGACACATTGATAAACCTACATCCTGTCTCTGGCTTAGTATCTTTGTGATGTTATTAAGCCTCCTTATTTCTGTTAAACCACATTCTTTTTTTTTTTTTTGAGATTTTTGCTACAGGATGCTTACACTTACCAAAGAGATAGCAAGAAATCACCTTCCTGGAGGAGAAGCCATGCACGCCACAATCTCTTCTTTATTCTCCTCTTGGGAATTTGGACACACATACCTGGCATGAGTTTTAAGCTGCTGGGTCCATGACTCGAACCATGGTCAGTTACCATTGGAGTCTTAACAATGTACTCATTACACCATCTGCTAGTCCCAGGCACATTCTTTTCTGATCTCGGCAACCTTCCTTTTCCCATCACCAACCTCAAAACTGTAAAACCTACCTATAACCTACAAGGCCCCATTTCCACATGTCCTGCTTATGGAAAAGCTCTTCGCTAAATTCCAAACTTTGTCTCTTGCTCTCAAAATTAAATAAAAGGAACCTTTGTACCTGATCACCCCAATAAAGTCATGTTTTGCTTCCTCTCCAGGCTTAGGTCACTCATATTCTGCTTAGGAATAAACCACACTATTATTTTTGCAGAGTTGATTTTTCCTTTGACAATTGCAAGTCATGGGCAAGCAAGAGGGGCCTCAATCTCTTATCCTTATTTTTTTCCCTGCAGACTTAATTATATCGGTGGGGCCAGTAGGTGGTCCAGTGGTTAAGGCACTGGACTTCCCTGTGGTCAACCGTGGTTCAAGTCCAAGACCCGGTGGCTTTCTCTCTCTCTTTCTCTCTCTCTCTCAGTCTCCCTTTGAAGAGTGCAGATATCCTATAGCAATTAAAAAGTAATAACAGGGGCCAGCAAGTGATGTGGTGGTTAAAGGTGCTAGACTTCCACATGGCCGACTACAGTTCAAGTCCTGAACCCAGTGGCTTACTTACTCTCTTTTCCTCTCTCTTTCTCTCTCTCTCTGTCCCTCTCTGGTCAAATTGAAGTGGATAAATAAATAAATAAAATAAATAAAGTTCCATACACTAATTATTTTTAAAAAAGTAATAATAATAAAGATAAATAAATTTAAACAACTCTTTAAAAATAAATAAATAAGAGCTGGCAGGTGGCATGGTGGTTAAAGTGTTAGACTCTCATGGCTGACCATGGTTTGAGTTGGTGACCTGAAGACTTGCTTTCCTACTTTCCCTTTCTTTGTCTCTCTTTGGTCAAATTAAACAAATAATAATGATGATAATAAATGAAATAAAATAATTATCTAAAAATAAATAAGTAAAATAACTACATCATTGTCCTCCCCAGCCCTTTGACCAACCCAAGATTGCTTGTATTCTCAGGCTACTTATTTTCTTTCCTTCCATCTGTGTCATCTGTCCCCATCCCATACTAAGCCAGTTATCAGCCTGAGGTCTTTTCCTCATCACGTGTACATATGAGATGTCCTGATAGAGGAGGGGCCGAGCTGCCTTCCACTTGGTTGAGTCTGAGAAGGCTTCACACAGTACTAGTGTCAAACTAGAATTTTCTTGGCATAGAGGCATGAGGAACAAGGTGTGTTAGAGAACTCCAAATGATTCAGTATTGTGAGCTGAAATTTTCTTGTGGGGCAGGGCAGCAGTGATGCCAGATGGTCAGTTTACTGGCATAATATAAATGACAATTCTTTGGTCTTTTTTAGCCATCCCAGTGGAAATTGCTTCGACAGGAACTGTTGAAGTACCTGGAATGCTTCTTGATTGCTGTCCTTAAGGACTGTAAGATGTCTGCCCCACCCAACAGGACTGAAGCCATGTGGCAAGATTTTATAACCTGCTTAAAGGATCAAGATTTGGTATTTTCTTCAGTGCTTGAGAATCCCGCTTCCTACCTCTTAACGAAAACTGCTGTTTCCAGACCTTTGTTCTTGGTTTTAGATGACAATTTTTATTATCAAAGTATGAGATACGAAGTCTACCAACTGGCTCGGAAATGTAATTAAAACATTTTTTTCTATTATGCATGGAGACATTTATTTGCATATCAAAATCATTACTGCTTACAGCGACAACTTAATTGGATTAAGAGGTTTATATGGGTTTACTTCATTTTAAAAGCTAAATGTTCTGAATTGCAAATGGCGTTTTTCCTACTGTCTAGCTTGTCTAGTATATATTTATTTCATATTTTGGAAAAATAGAGCCCTGGTAATCTTGTGATTTTAAACTTATTTCAGATTCCTTGGGCTTTTGCCAGCTCTTTTTAGATTGTCCTCTTGAGGCCTGTTTACAGAGGAACAGCCAGAGAACACGAGCACTACCTGCGGAGACCATCCACCTGATGGAAAGGAAGCTAGAAAAGCCCAGCCCTGAAAAGAATGCGTGGGAACACAACAGCCTCACAATTCCAAGTCAAACATATTCTTCGGAGGTCAGGTATGCTGTTCCAGGCCAACCTTCTCTGGGTGCACCGCTGTACTAGGCACTGTGCTACACACTTCGTTTGTACTGTCTTCGTTCATCCTCACAAGGGCCTTGCACAGATGTTATTGTTTCTCCTTTTGTGTGGAAGAAGAAACTGAAGTGAGAAAGTTTAAGTTGTCCAAAGTCACTCAGATTGTGACAGCACACATTTGCACCTGAGTTTGTAAATGTCTGCTTTTAACTATTAGAGTTATATTGTTCCTTAGAGATTGGAACAGAGAATTCAGATACCACATCTTTTTTTTTTTTCTTTTTTTTGGAGAGTTTTTTTTGCTATAGGGCGTATGCGCTCCCCAGAAAGACAGAGAGAGACAGAAAGCGAGAAATCACCCTCCAGGGGGGATGGCCACGCCGCAATCCCTTCTCCTCCATTCTCCTCTTGGGATCTTGGGTACGCACACATGTTCCCGGCATGAGTTTAAGCACCGGGTCCAGGACTCGAACCGCAGTCGACTACGTGGGAGTCCAGCAACATAGCCATTACACTAACTGCTGGTCCCCAGAGACCACATCTTTGATACACTTGCTAAAACAATATAGTCTTAATAGGTTGCCCTGCGGTTTTCTTATAGAAAGAAATCTGTGAAAGAGTGGAAGTGTTACTGGATCCTAATTTTCCTTAGAGCTAACCATAATGCGCTGTTTGTGAAATTCTTCGGCTGTGGTGCCTAGCACTTTTCATTAATGATATATGAGGGGAGGGGCCAGCAGGTGGCATAGTGGTTAAGGCACTGGACTTCCACAAGGCCAACCACAGTGTGAGTAGTGGACCTGGCGACATGCTTTCTCATTCTCTCTCTCGCTCTCTCACTCTGGTGAGTGCACATGCCCTATAGCAAATTAAAAAATAGTGGATGAATGAATAAAATAAATATAAAATTTTAAAAAATTATATATGAGGGGACTTCAAGAGGTTCACAAAAAAAAAAAAAAAGAAAGAAATTGAATTAAGTATGAGTTTATTTTGGTGCCCAGAATCTTGAAACCCATGCATAGTTTTTTTATAATGCGCAATTTCCAAGAATTTTTTAGAAGACCCTCCCAACCTTCAGAGTTCCAAAGCAGCACATTTCTGGTAGAAATTTCACTGATGATGAAAATGTTCTGTAGTTGTACTGTATGACACAGTATCCACTAGCCACATTGAGCATTTAAATGTAGCTAGTGTAGGGCCGGCAGGTAGCGTGGTGGTTAAGAGTGCTGGACTCCCACATGGCCGACTGTGGTCTGAGTTCCGGACCTAGCGGCTCGCTTTCTCACTTTTCACCCTTCTCTCTTTCTCACTCTATCCTTCTCTAGTCAAATTAAAACAAATAAATAAAATTAATTTAATTTAAAAATTCTCTAAAAAAATGTAGCTAGTGCAACTGATGATCTGAATTTAATTTTAATTAAATAGCCTCTCATAGCTAGAGGCTGTTGTATTGGACAGCATGCTTTTAGAGGCATATTGTACACTTTTCCTTAGTTCCTGCCTGTTGTACATGGGAAAATCAGCAGTTTTGTTTTTGCTAAAGGACATATGAACTTAACAAGAGAGACAAGAGTCAGAGAGAGAGAGAGAGAGAAGCGCATGTGACTGGAGTGGCTTTTTGTTTTGTGAAAGAATTATTTTACTTAATTTTAATATTTTTTAATTTGACCAGAGGGAAAGTGAGAAAGCAAGCCGCCAGGTCCAGGACACAAACTGCATTCAGCTGTGTGAGAGTCTAGCACTCTAACCACCCCACCACCTGCTGGTCTCCAGCTGGAGTATTTCTTTTTTTTTTTGGAGAGGTTTTTGCTATAGGCCACGTGCGGTCGCCAGACAGACAGAGAGAGACAGAGAGATAGAAAGCGAGAAATCACACCCCAGAGGGGATGGCCACGCCACAATCCCTTTTCCTCCATTCTCCTCTCGGGATCTTGGGCATGGGCGTTTAAGCTATCAGGTCCTGGACTTGAACCACGGTTGACTACGTGGGAGTCCAGCGACATAGCCATTACGCTAACTGCTGGTACCCAGCTGGAGTGTTTTTCAAGCTACCTGGTCTGGGGCTCCAGCCATGGAATCAGCCTTTTTTTTTTTCTCATTTGCTATAGTGCGAGTGTGCTTGCCAGAGAGAGAGAGAGAAAGTGAGGAATCATCCCCCAGGAGGTTGGCCATGCTGTAGTCCTGTCTCCTCCATTCTCTTCTCTGTATTTTGGGCATAAACATACATGAGCCTGGTTTGTTTTTCAAGTTACCAGGGCCAAAATTCGAACTGTGAAGTCTGCTATGTGGGATCCTGCCATCTTAACCTTCCTGTCACCTTCTTGCCCCAAAAATCAGCAGGGTTTTTTTTTTTTTCTTTTTTCTTTTTCCTTTTAGGTTTTTGCCAAAGGGTATTATTGTGTGCTTTCTGGAGACAGAAAGTGAGAAATCACCCCATGGGGGAGGGGGGATGGCCATGCTGCAGCCATTCTCTTGGGATTTGGGGCACGTAGGTACACATGCCCAGTGTGATTTTCATGCCCTTGGGTCTGGGATTCAAACTGTGGTTGTCCATGTGGGAGTACCATAACCACTACTCTACCTACTTGCCCCAAGATTAGCAGTTTTTAAGAGGCTCATATTTAAATTCTTCTCAACATTTGGTTGTCAGGGTAAAGATTCCGTTTATTTTATAAAATTAACATACTGGGCCAGTTCTGTGGCCTGGTAGTTAAGACGGCCAGATCGCACATGGCCATCCATGGTTTAAATCCTGTCCCCAGTGGCTTGAAAAAATACTCTGGGTGCAAGCACAAGCGTAACTAAAATCTCAGCAGGCTGGAGAAATGGAGAAGGAATTAACGGTGTGACCATACCCTGTTGAGGCACGCTTTCTTCTGCTCTCTCCCACTCTGTCTCTCTGTGTCTCTCTCTAGTGAATGCGTATGTGCCGGGACCAGCTCGGCATGAACACGTTTCTCTGAGTGGGGAAGGCTGAGGATTAGAAATAGACGCAATAACAAAACACACAAAGACACACAGGTATAGAAAAGCGAGGATCGGGTGGGCACAGCTTCTCTGATGGAGAAGTTGGGACCAGAATCAGCCTCAGGTTTATTCTTTAAAAGAGCAGAGAATGGGGGAAGGGGAAAATTGGATGTAAAAGGAATGAGGAAGAGGGAAGTGGAATGCAAAGAGAATAAGGGAAGAGAAATTGGGATGCAAAGCCAGTTTGGGGATGTAAATTGACTGAAGATGTGAAAATGACTGGTGCCATTTAATTTCTTTGATCCTTTTGGGGGATAATCTGATAAAGGCTTGTGACTTCTTTAGCCTGATACTGGGCAGTGTAGAGGTTCTGAGTTTCAACAACAACAGGAAGACAGCCATTGACAACAGGCAGGTACTGCTTTCGTATGTAGATGCTTCTCAATAGCTCTGCTAGAGTAGCTTAGGAAAGCACATCTTTGCATGTGTCTTCAGGCCACATGTTTTAATCACATGTTTTCAGATTGTCTTCTCTCTACACATGTGCCCTCTCAAAAAAAAAAAAAAAAAACCCTAGAAAAGTTCAGAAAATAAAAATTGGAAGTAGGTGACTATTCTTTATACAGTTTTGTTTTTCTCTTTGTGATAGAGCATGTGCATGTGTACCCATGGGTGACATGGGGGAGGTGTCCCCTTTCTTCCTCTAGCCTGTTGAGCCTTGGGTACTCAAGTATATTACCTGGCTTGTTTCAGGCTGACCAGGCCAAGGACTTGAACCTCATTCACCGATGTGAGATCTAGCTTCTCTTGAGCATTATATAACCATTGCACCACCCAGCCAGCCCTATTCAGTTTATAAAATAAGCTATTAGGGAGATTTTAAATTTTAACTTATAATATCCTAAAACTTTGAGCAGGCATTTAACTAACTGACTGCTACTCTTTCAGGAATACCTAACATTGTTTCCTTTAGAAATGAATGACTGGTTGAGGCACTGAGCTATCCCATGAGAACGAACGGCATAAGGCTATCATCACTGCTGCGAGACCCATGAGAGCTTGGTAGAAGCAAGGAAAGTCTAAGTTTCTGTCGTGACGCTTACCATCATACCTTAGATCTTAAGAACCTGGTCATCTATGCTTGTTTCCACAGTAGTCACAGTGTAACTCTGAAGGGTTTCTTTGAAGACGGTGGCCTTGTATTGCAAGCTGAAAGATGATCTGATCAATGTACCTTTCTGGGCATCTATGATAGAATAGCAGCAATAGCTACTGAGCACATTCAGTGGACTTGGCATCTTCTGAACACTTCATATGTATAGGCCCAGTCAGTCCTCACAATAGCCCTTTCAGGGTAAAACGCTCATCCGTTTTTTTAGATGGGATCAGTGAAGCCCAGGTAAATAAAGTAACATACCTAGGTAGTTAAGTGGCAGAGCCAAGATTTGCACCAAGGTCATCTCACTGATTCAAGAACAGAGGCTCTTTTCAGTATGAGAAAGATGACCTTGAAGTTGAGATTTAACTTGATGAACTCATTATCTTAAAATTTTTCAGTGTTCCCCCCTGCACTTTGAGTAAAATTTAAACTCCTTACCATATTTTATGTGTTCTAACCCTGATCGATTCTCCAACCTCACATCCCACCACTCTCCCTTGCTGCTTTTAGCCAAACTGGCCTTCCCTGTTCTGTGAACACAGGAAGCTTGTCCTTGCTTCGGGGCCTTAGACAGCAAAGTGGCTGATGAGGACAGAAGTCTGACTGCATTTTCCTATTTTTCAAAGTCCTTTTCAGGGGGACCAGAGGGAGTCATGCCCACAAACATCAACAGACCATTTTGACAGGAGTCTTCTGATAATCTGTCCCTGCAGTAGCATCTTTGTGATATATATTAAGTCTCCTCATC